ACTGCCTTCTCCTTCTGCCCCCTCCGTTCGCTTTTTTTTTTCCCTCTCGTTTTGTATTCCTTTCTCTTTACCAGCATAGGATTGACTGCCCTCCCCATCCTTCATCACACCCCTGTCCGTCGCCTCCTGAGAAGCAAGGGCAGAAAAGGGTGTCATTGCAGCGCAATCGAAGTCCGACAAGAAATTGCCAATTCACCAATAGTCACCGAGAAACGATCACTTGTGCGTGCCCTCGTACATTACCTTTGCCAGAGCCACACCTATCCCGACCGACTTCTATGACCACCAACCCGTCAACCTGTGTCAGCGATGAATCAACAAAGACTGCAGTAATATCGCAATAAAGACATTTACCTCGCGAACCTCGACCCATCCGTTACCACCCGTAGGAACAACATTCTACAACATTCTAGCCCCTCGAGGACTCCCTTCTTCAGCAGTGTCTTATTCAGCTTCACGTATCACTGCAGAAATCAAGTCATTCGTTATCGCCCTATCTAGAGGCAGAGTTGACACAGCCAGCACGCGCTAAGATTCCGTCCTTGTTGGTCTTCGCGCCCCCCTGCTGTCTTTGCTAGCAGCTTGCGCATCCCAGCTTGTACTAGCTATACACTAGCACATTAGACCCTCGAGACAAAACTCTCGTTTTAATTAGACGATCTTCGCCTTGTCGATTTTACAGATTAATCAAGTTAGCTAGGAGGGACATAGACAACATGGCGTAAGTCTCTAATGGTCCGTGTTTTGGACAGGAATTGACAATCCATTCTAATAGCAATCTCGGGTCGGCCTTCCGTTCTTTTTGGCATACTATGACCAGCTATGACCGACGTAGGTTATCATGTTGAGTATAAGAGAAAAAGGTAGAAAAGGAAAAACACGAGCAGAGTTACTAAAATTTGCATGCAGACTCAAACTATGATTCCCCCCATCGGACAGGCCGCCACGTGCCTCTGAACCGCCAAAGCACGCTAACGTCGGTTGCTACCGCGTCTGAATCTCGCGCCGATATCACATCTCCATATCAAGATGAGCTGGGCCGGTTGTCTAACCAGGCAGATGGAACTGCATACATGGGTGCCGGTATGCCGTCTGCATCTCCACTCTCACCCGGCTCTAATGATCCCTATTCTCCGGGCTTGAGATCCTTCAATGCGCAGAGACAAAGCTCTAGAGACGATGGTTTCGAAACTGTGAGCAGTCCTGGTGACATTCAGATGCAATCTTTCGCCGACGGCGCGCCTCCAGCGCCTCCTGTGGGACACACTTGGAAGCGCATAGACCGGTGGACCGAAGAGAACTATCCCGAACTTTTCGACCAGCTTTGTGAGGGCTGCACAAACAACGACTTGATTGAGCTTGAGCATCAGCTCGATTGCTCACTGCCACAGGACCTGAGAGATTCCCTTGTGATTCATGACGGCCAAGAGCGTGGTGGAAACCCTACTGGAATAGTCTTTTCTTCTATGCTTCTTGACTGCGAAGAAATCGTGCAAGAGTGGGATCAGTGGCGGAGAGTAAATCAACAATACCTCCTCGAGACTTCGGTCACAAATCCTGCGGTTCCCTCAAAGGCATTTGGTGGTGCTGCTGAGGCGTCTTCTTCTCGATCAGTACCGGGCTCCCCTGGTTCCCAGAAAGGATCTTGGCGGCAAGACCTTCAGGCTCGGCAAGACTCTGTTCCACCTGGTGCCATCCAGCGAGCGTATGCACATCCGGCTTGGATTCCACTAGTACGAGATTGGGGTGGTAATAACCTAGCTGTGGACTTGGCACCTGGTCCGACTGGTATTTGGGGACAAATTATCTTGTTTGGGAGAGACTACGATACCAAATACGTTGTTGCCAGATCATGGGGCGCTTTCCTTGCGATTCTTGCAGACGACCTGAACAGTGGCAAATGGTTCGTCGACGAAGATACTAATGAGCTCAAGCTACGCGAGTTTAAGACCACTCGTGTTGAGCCCTCGTATTTTGACATCTTGCGTTGGCGGATGGACCAAAAGCATGGACGTACAGCGAAAACCGTGGCAAAACGCAAGTCTGGTGTACCGGGGAGTGCCGCGTCTCCTGGCGGTTCCCCTTACTCTAGCCCTGTCGATGCTAATGGTGATGTCCGTGGAAGGACATTACAGCGGCTTAGTAGTCCATCGCCATTAGTAAGCCCTGCTCGAGTTGGTTTCGGAAAACCCAGTGCGCTTGCACGAGTTGCAGAAGAATCAGGACAGGCCGAGCCAAAACTCGTCACTAATGGCATCAAAGAGGACAAGCTCGTCGAAGTCGAAACGCCAAATTTGGAATCTAACGCTCAGTCGGCTACCAATCAAGTAATTGCGCCCGAGGTCAAGGGCAAGGAACCATCGTCAGTGAAGAGGGAAGCGGATCTAGTAAACGGCCACGCGGATGACATTGAGGAGGCAATGAAAACTATAGAGATCTGATGAGAGTTCCACGATGAAGAGCAATGATAGCCTATGTTCCCACGACCATTACAATATTCAGCACAAGGGCGGCGTTCTGGGCGTCGGATTTTGAAACCCTTCTATGAGCATCATCTTACGATAGTCTCTGGAGTTTCCTCACCTCTTCTACTACAACACTATCGGTATCTCTGGGCTCTCCGTGTTTCGGCCATGTCTTGTGTTCATGTGCAGGCCCTTGCCTGCACGGCCCTTTCCCTTACACGAATCATGCACAGAAACGTGACCCTTGGTTTTCATATGGTGAGCGAGGTCCAAGTCCGTGGTGACTTTTTTTTATTTCTTGTACCAAAACGATATTTATCTACTTCACACCGAACTTGGCCGCCTAGCAACAACAGATTTTTTTTAGAGCCCGGCGCCGGGGGCGGTGTCGACCTAGCAGAGCTATTCACGGAGTCGCTGTAATGGCGACTTGTACAAAGAGGGGTGGCGTTATTAGTCCTTTTCTTCTTCCTCTTTCGCGTCTTGCGATCATCGGGCGGGTTAATAGATCTGACATGTAGTTCCGGGTCGTCACCGGAGCTCTCATAAGTAGGCGTCGGAGGTAGCAACATATATATAGTCAGTTCTGGTGGAGAGGGTCAGCGCAGCCGCATGCATACTATTAAGAGTGCAATGATGGAGCGCATAATTGGATTAAACTAGTTCATCAAAATATAATGTAAGAACTATCCACAGAGCTTCTAAATTGTAGAGTCCGGTGCGATGATGGCGTGTTCTACCAGCCAATCCTCAGTATATCTATAATGCGATTAGGTTCGTATGCAACTGCTGCAAGTGATCTGAACACGCACGTCACGTGACATGTGCGACTAGAGCAGCGTCATCAGCCTCAATTCCGAGACCCAAGCCTGGATCTCACGAGCCTTAAGCTTAATCCAGTCAACCAGCCAGCCAACCATCAACCTCGCTGCCCTACCTCCTTGATCTATCCCCCTACTACTTGCTCTCCATACCTTCATATCCTCGAGAGTCGAGATACATCACTACCGTACTCGCTGCCTCTTTCCGACTGTGGGGATTTCCCTCTACCGAGCTCAGTCGCTAGTTCTGCCTATCAACCTCCCCGTCCCGAAGTGAATCCCGAACATCATGGAAGAGGACCGCCTTTGGAAGTTTGGCAAGCCGGCATGGCTCAACAGCGTCTGGGCGCGCAACGCTGGCGTCTACGGAGCCGGCGCTCTGGTGTGGGGGGGGGGGGGGGGGGCGGCGGCGGGGGGGGGGCGGGCGGCCCGGGCGGCGCGCAGCACCCCCCGCGGCGGGGCGCCAACGGAGGAAGACGGAGGCAAGAGGC